GAGCTCCGTCAAGTGCAGCGCCTTCCAGCGCACCGCTTGCAGTCGGCGGACCAGTGCAAACCGAAGCACTTGGCGCGCGACTGGGTTGGCCATCAGCGCCGCGTCGATCCAGGCCACCCGGCTTTCCCGCACTCGGCGCTTCAGCTCGACAAGCACGTGCTTGCGGAAACGCGCTCGCATCTGGTACCGACGGACGGCCACCACGAGCGCTGAAATCGAAGCTTTGTGGCGCGTCGTGAGTTGGCGCATCTTGGCATCCAGCACGGCCTTGGGCCAGTTGAACGCTGCGCCGCAAAAGCAGTTGACAGAGTCGCACCCGTCGCCCTTGACAAGCGGAAGCGCGCAGCTCGGACACGCGACAATGTCGTGAACGCGGCCAAGGGCGCCCGCGACGCACTCGCTGCCGTGGTGGTGGCCCGCAGTTTGGCACGCAAAGCACACGTCGACCGAGCAGCAGAGCGTCTGAATGAACGGATTTTGCTGCACGAGGCGAAGGAAGAGCGCACCCTGACGCTCCTTGTCCGCCGTGCTCTGCAACAGCTTCTGCTTGACGTCGGTGGTATCCTCGCCGCTAAAGGTGGCGTCCACAAACGCGACAAGTTCCGTGACCGAGGCTTCGTGCTGGCAGAAACGACGATGGACGTCGAGGAGCGCCGGGAGGTGCAACTCGAGCGCTGCTGGCAGCTCCAACGGATCCGATGACGACGCCGGCAACTGGCTGTGATCCGAGTGGCACGACGGACATTTCATCGTGCAAGCACCTGCGAGCTTTCGGTCGTACATGGCAAGGCTCTCCAAGATGCTCGCCTTCGCTGCTTGCTTCGCGGCGATCCAGCTGGCGGCTGCGTCGCTTCCGGATTCGCGGGCCTCAACTTCGGATTCGATCAGTGTCTCGTCCGGCGCAGAAGGACTCGCATCGACGAAGAGCGGGTCAAGTTGCAGCTGGAAGCGGACGGTGTTCATGGGCGTGACACACACGGGACACGGCAGCTTGGTCAAAACGCCAAAGATCGCGTCGCGCGCTCGGACGTCCAAGAAGCCCGCAATGCACGTGGGACACAGGCGCGCTGGGCAGTCGTCGCGACAGAGACGGGCGACGAGGTTCGTGCAGTCGACGTCGTCCATGCACACGTCGCAGACAGCCGTGTCGGGCACGGACACCGGCGTGGACGGGCCCGACGTTCCATCCGTTGACGCCGATGAAGCGCAGTCGATCTCGAGGCTCTTGACAGGCAGAGTTTGCACGATCTCATCCTCGAAGCAGGCAAGTGTGTCCATCGTCTCGAAATCTGGAATGCTGCCGTGCACCACACCCACAAAATATGGAAAGTTCCTGTGAATGATGGTTGCGAAAGCGTGTTCCTTGTTCTGCCACGTCATGAGAGAGAGTGATGGTCGTATATCCAAACTGTTGGCGGCGGTGCTCATTCTTGGAGAGAGGGACGTACCACTTAGGCAACTACCGTGGACGATGGAGGAGCCTTAAGTGCGTACTCGCACTCGTCCCCAGTAAGTACACGTTTGCCCAAGCAAAGATGGTCAAGGATTGACCAGCCAACTCGCTGGCACTTCTCTAGTACTCGAAGTAGTGGAGCTCGCTTGTTGTACCGCCGTGGAGTGTGCACTTGATCCAAGCTAGAGAACCGCAATAGCAGCACTGCCGTCTCCACGGAAGGCTACTATTCTGTCGAGTCCATCACCCTACAATGTGATTCAAAGTCAAAGCTGCTGATCCCGTGTGTCAACGGGGCATCCCGCAACACTCTAATGGATCGTGTTCTTCCACGACAACAATACAACGAGCGTTCGTGCCGGCGACCGGGTGCAACCGGAAATTCACCGTATGTTGAACTCGAGACAACGTCGTTGGGGACATCACTATAATTAGCTGCGGCTCGCGTGGCAGTTGGCAATTAGCGATGGACTTTGAAGACTTGTTGAACGAAGTCGAGTCGGCGGTGCGCGGCACGAGCGCGCCCGTGAAGCCGGCAACAGCGTCGTCGTATGCATCCTCCAAGCCATCCTCAGCCTACTCGGCCTCGTCGTCCTCGATGACGAGTGCTCCCAAGCCAGCACCGTCGTCGTCTTGCAAGAGCCGCATGCAATCGGACCTCGATGATCTGCTCGACCTTGTCGCCGAGCCCGAGGTCGCAACGTCCGCCAAGAAGGCGGCGCCGAGAGAGTTCCATGCCGGCAGCTCGAAAAAGTAGCTGACGCCGCTTGTCTTGGACTCAACGCACGGCGTAGATGCACGAGCGTGGCGCTGGCTGGCACAGCACTCAAGCACGGCCAGCACGTGAGCGCGGTCAACGCTGCGTACTGCGAGTGCTTTGCCACATTCGAATCTCATCACTTGTGGTAGTGCGTGCTCCAACCTGCGCTGCAACGACTGCGACTTCACCGTCGTTCAGTTCACCAACACGTACCTACTGCCAAACTGTCTGTTGAATCGCGGACGATATCGTCATCGCTGCATTAGGCGATGGCACGCGTCCGCCGACTACATGTTTTTTCGCGAAAACATGCCCAACGAAGCCAAGCTCCGGGCGAAGATGGAGTCCTCGTCCGGTACCGAGAGACGCCACTGAAACCAGAGGTAGCGAATACTTGTGCGTAGGATGCATTGCGTACGCCTGCCAGTGCAAGTGGCTCAGCGTCTCGGACAAGACGACGCCCGAGCGCGAGCGCGTCAAGTGGTGCTGCGCTGGCCATTAGCAACCCTAATCCTCCACATATCGATCTCTTCATCCAAAGGCTACAACATTGTAGACGCTAGAAGACTAGAGATAGCAACGGACCGAGTCACGACCTACTGGGTTTGCATGAACGTGCTCTGGTGGGAAATCAACGCTGGGACTCTACTGCGTGTCGACCTCGGTCGTTTGTTCACATGCATTCGAGTATCCAGCAAGAATCTAGTACTTCCATCATTATTCGCGCGGAAGAAGATCCGCCACGTCAACGATCACCTCGCGCAGCTCGCTCTGCGACCGAGCAACCTCTCCTCTTCCAAGCACCTTGCTCCGACTTATGAGAAACATTGATCTCGTCGAGAAGCTCGTCTCTTGGGTTGCTCTACTTGGCTCGGATGCGCATTTTTCTTCGGCGACGCCGAGAGAAGCTGTACGGAACGCGATGCATATTCATCGCGCAACAACTTGTACAGACACGTCACAAAAAGAAGTACCGTCTACAACAACAAGGGCGTGGACCCGGACCGCGTCCAGGACCCATAGCGCATGTACGGGTGCTCGAGAAGCGTGTCGGCCGACGGCCGCGCGGCCGCGTCGACGACGAGCATGTCCTGCACAAAGAGGCGGAGCGCGCGCGACACGTGGCGGCACGCGTGCCC